AGGTGAGTAAACTCCGCCCCCAGAGGTGAGTAAACTCCGCCCCCAGAGGTGAGTTCAACTCTGTGGTCAGAGGCAGCAGGATGAAGCCTGGGTACAGATGTTCAGTCATGAAAAGACCTCCATTGTTTACTTTTCTTTTTATTCATTTGCTGCATTCTTCCAATAATTATCTATTTTAGAGAAAGAAATTGAAATAATTTTTTTTTTTTCTATTTGAATGTATGAAATCCAGACAGAGAATTCTGCAGAGCCCTTGTTTCTATCCAGATACAGAAATAAGAATTTCTCTGACGTAAAAGCTCTGCTTTGTGTCTAATTGTACACAAGGTCAATGACCCTCAGGTTGGAGAGCTGCGTTTCTGCAGAACTCTGTCCTTTTATGTTGCTTTCAGAGAAAAGAAAAATAGTCTTTGCAGAAAAAGGCCGACCGTCTCACAGCTGCAGTTTAGGGACCGACAGACCGCATCCTCCCTGCTGAGTCAGGACAGGCGGCGTGATCCAGAAGTGATTTGAGTCGGTATAGAGACCTGGATCTGGGTCGGCTCTGGGATTTAGACGAGCGGACTCTGACCATTCCAGACCATTAGTCCAACCTGACAGCTTTGCATCATTCTGGGGCCAAACATGTACAGTATTTTTTTGTATATATATGCATATATGCACCCCTGCACAAGAGCACATGTTACGGTTAAACCCATGCAGTATATTAAAAGAGTAAGAACAGTAAGAAGAGGTGCAACTCGTCTTCCCACCTTGCCCAACAGTACATGTTAGCTTTCAATGATAAAACCAGTGGGAGCTTCACGGCCAGCCTTCACTCCTACTAGTATTTATAGATGTTTTATTCTCTCTCTGCCTATTTCTCCTCCTCCCCCTCCTTTCTTCTTCCCTGTGAATCACCCACAAAAGTCTCAGGTCTGAACACCTTGCAGCCGGAATAATCAGCTCCTCATCTTTGAGGAAAGCAAACATATTTTGCACGAAAACAACCTGCCTTCTTTCTTTTTTATTTATATACAGAGCTGTGTAAACATTAAAGCTGGTATTAAAAACTAGAAATCAATGACAAAATGTACATTAGTTTCAAGACACAAGAGAGTGAAGAAATCTTTATTCCTTTACAAAATAAAAAGAAGCCAATAAATTGGCTTCACCAGAGCAGTTGCTTATCTGTAGCCGAGAGGAAGCGGCTGGATCAGCTGATCAGGAAGGCCAGCTCTGTGATTGGATGCCCTCTGGACT